TGGTTGATCGTCAACTGCTCTAATACCACTGTTAGCCTTTTTGGCTAGTGATGAACCAACACGTAACAACAGGAACAAGAAGGAAAATATTCGTGAAAGGAAACAATCACGTGAATTATATTAATTTTTTTTTTATACCAATATGATTATAATCACTTTCTTTAAATAAGCAATAAGTATGCGTAACGTGATCTGAATGATAACAATCATCATTCAAACTCTAACAACCTAAACCTATCAATCATTTTATTTTAATTTCAAAACTCTAACTGTCAAGATAACATTGACGATATCAATGAAGTTAAATTTGAATTAACTTCCAACAGAGAATTGGTTTCCAATTCTAGATTTGAGTTCCCAACTATTTATGTTTATTTTGTATTTTGTGCCCAGTAATTTGTAGTTCATTTTAAATTGTAGTATTTTGTGTTAAAAGTTGGGAGTTGTAACATCTTTAATGTGGATTTATAATTTTTGAACTTGAATTATATTTCAATAATGATTAGAGACTGATCTATTCAATTGCCCCCACTGATTTTTTTTTTTTTTTCTTCTTACTATATACCATTGATTTTCCATTTTTTTACAATATATACCCCTAAAATTTTAGAATTGCCCCACTGAAATTACAGAAAAATCATACAATTGCCCCCACAACATTTTTTATATGGTTGTTGTTAAAGACCACCCCTACTAAGATAGTTTTCTGGGTCCATCCTTGATAATGATGTTACAGAGCTTACATCTTTATATATCCAACTCCTTCTCTTGGTTGTGACTTCTTGTTCTATATTTTCCTTCTTCCCTCTCTTCCACCCGCGTCAATCTTCCTATTTTTACAATAGTTTTTAAGCTTTATGAGGAGGAAGAAGCCACTTGGAACCCTCTATAGAGGCAAGGCTGATATAGGGTTTAACGTTTGCATCACTTAGCTGTTTCGAGAATTTAACTCTGCCACCCGGATTAGACCCTGGACTTGTGTTTTTGTATTCTAGGAAAGTAACCGTCTTGCAATTAAATCCATCATTACCTTTTCATTAGTACCAGTACAAATTCGCATGTTAATTATATACAGGAACTTAGTTTTCCATTGTACAATGCTTCATGTTATACAATTATAGACATCCCATATCAATCCTCTCCACTAATAATATAGCTAGAAAATAATTGGTCCCAAAATCCAAGTTCAAATTGGATTCTGTCAAGTGGGAACCGGTACTTGAATTTGGGAACTGGTTCCAGGAGCTAAGATTCGAAGAACTTCATTCTGTCCTTTGAGAACCGGTACTAAGATTGGAACCGGTTCCAGAAGTCTCGATTATAAAAGGTTTTCACTTACCTTGTTCTGTTTGATTCCTTTTTTATCCAACTTTCCTTCCAAGTCCTATGCACGAAATCACCTTTATTTTCCGAAGGAATAGGACTTTGCAAACCTCTATATAAACCATGTCATACACATAGGTTTATTAACGGCTTTTATTCTATAGATTCATTATTCTTAAAAGCCTTAAGAAGATTATTTTTGTAGAAAATTAGAGTTGATTTTTCTGTCATCTTTCTAGAACACATACACATAAACACATAGTGAGTTTAGAGTTGCAGTGTTCAAATCGTAATCGTGATCACACAGTTGCATCTACATCGATCATATAAAAATAGATATACTTATACATTGAATTTAGACGATTGAAGAACAGAAGTAAAAGCGATCATACTTTGAAAGGGTTGGAGCATTCGAGGAGTGTTGTTTAATCTACCTGCTACTCTTTTACAAATATCAAGCATAAGGCTGAAGTCAAGTTGCCGTTGGATGGGAAGTCGCAAAGCCAGATGATTGTCAGCAGTTGGTGTTTAGTAAAACGATAGGGTGTTAGCCAGAGTCAAAGTTTAGTATACTTTGTTTCAAGCATAGTGGATCGGTTTACTTTGGACTGCACAGTCCACTAGGTTTTTCCCATACAAACAATTGATGTATTTTATCAACTGGGGTTTCCTCGCTAAAATTCTCGTGTCATCTCTAACTTTATATTTTGCTTTATTTTATGTTGCATGATATTAATTTATTAATTGTTAAAATAAAGAAAGTTCGAAAAACAAAAGATCTTTTTTCAAAATAAACAAAACTTTCTAAATATTCCGCTACGTATGGCTCACAAAAGGATTTTCATAACACATAAAATGTGAGTAGTTATTGTGTTGAATAGCCAATACATGTGTTGGAAAAATTGGTAATTCGGACTCCATTCAGTCTGAAAGAGTCCGCCTCAGTATCATTACTCGATCGTCAAGCTAATAGTTAATTGACCGATGAAATTCACACATTTCTTTTTATTTATTTTTTGAATTAGGAAGAACCCAAATTACTTATATATTTATTTTTTGAATTAGGAAGAACCCAAATTACTTATATATTTATTTTTTGAATTAGGTAGAACCCAAATTACTTATATATTTATTTTTAGAAAATTTCTAAATACAAGATACCTTTAAAACTTATTTTTGAGTCCATAATATAAATATCCATATTTTTTTTTTTTTTTTTTTATGTTGCGCCCAGATTTCGACCCACATTGGTCCAATGGGGTGATTTAGAAAGTGAGTGTAAAATGGAACAACGTGAATTAAAATGTAAACTTAATGCAATAAAAAAAATATGATGTAAGCCCTTTTGTACAAGTTTACGGAGTTGCCACCTAACATTGGATTTAGGTGTGCTACCGTCACCTTTAAAAAATATTTTTCAAAAAATGTGATTTTTGAAGTATTTCTCCATATGATATTTTGAAAAAAAAAGCCCTTTTTGGATTGCAAATCCACGTTGCAAAAAAAAAAAAAAAAAAAAAAAATTTGATAGTAACACCTGTAAGTCTACGTCACCAATATTCATGAGTTTGGGGTTTCAATTATGTCAGGGGAATGTGTTAGGCAACACTGAAACATCCACAAAATTTTTGCGTTATCACATTTTAGAATAATATTTGAGTTTCATGAAACTACTAATGATGCATGAAAAATTAAGAGCAATAAAAATGTTAGCCTAGCCCAATAATAGAATACAAATATGTGTGTGTTGTGATAAAGAAAATAAATAAGTAAAAGAAGAAATAAAAGAAAAGAGTGTGTTGTGATAAGGGAGAGAGAAAAATAAATAAATAAATATAAAATAAAATAACGATGGCATTTATTTTAAAAATCGTGTTGTGTTTTTTTTTTTTTTTTTTTTGGCATTTATTATGATTATTTCAATATCAAATCAACAGTTCAAAGAGATTTAATTGATGAAACAAGGAGAATTAGTTAGCCAATTGTCTATTTTCATCATTCACTTTTATTTTAAAATTATTTATTTCCAGATATCACCATGTTTGGTCTTGTTGTTATTGCAATATTTTTGTAATTCTTATTATTACTATTACTTTTAATTATCATAGTTGTTCATGGCGTTACTTCTTATTATTGTTCTTGTATCATAAATCATTTCAAAAATGAAAATTAGACCGTAGAAAGTTAAAGAAAGCTGACATATAGTTTAAACATATATTTACGTGTCATTGGATGATTGTCCCTAAAACATTAGTTACTGGACCATGTAATAATTTTTCAAAAGAGAGGAACAAAAATGTCCAAAAAAAATAAATAAATAGCAAGCAAGCAGCAAAAAGAGCAAAAGCTTGGTCAGATCATGGTAGATAATGTCATGGGTCTTCTATGGATGAGTCCGATGATAGAATTTTCATCCATTGTGAGGAGTCATAGATGGAAATGTTCAATCGTGATTTAGCGAATCATCCATTGATTGGAGTGAGCTTCCAATCTTCGATGAAGAATCATGCATGGAAACATATGAAATGGTCATGGATTGGGATCAATTAGTGACCTTCGACATTGAAAGTACAAAAGAAGAATCTCAAAATGAAGGCAACACGGTGGCAAAAGTAAAGGAAAGCATGAAGTCCAACATAATGTTTTAAAAGGTGTCGGGTAGCCAGACACCTTTTAAAGCATTAAGTTGTTGTCAAGACTGCTATCTTGAGTTTGTATTGGGTCGTTTTTGTTTTGTTGTCTTGGGGGGGGCCCACTAAATTTTTTTATTTTTTTGATATATATACTTATAAAATTACACAATCATCCTAACTAAAATTATTAAAAAATTACATTATCGCCCCATCTCACACAATTTATTGGCTACGTCCCTGTATATATATATATATTTTTTTTCTGATGAACTCCATTTTATACAAGTTTAATGATGTCATTTCAAGACTTCACTTTTCACCAATGGGAGATGTGCAAGAATGCTAGTCTAAGCATTGGTTCGCGTTTGAAGATTTGAGAACTAAAACAAGTGTAACAAGTTTGAAAAATGTGGTTGATAATGAAGCTTTTACATGCATGGAGATGATAATAAATAATGAATTTAACTTTTAAGACATAATTCGAGAAGAGTTCTTAGAGATTAATATAATATTCGAGAGGAGTGGAACTGAAGTAAAAATAAAGATTCAAATATTGATTCATGGTAAGTGTTCAATCAAGTTTGAAAAATCTAATAAACTTCAAATCAGAGCATGAAAAATCTATCTTCATTATGCACACGTTCTCTATTCGAAAAAGGATTAATACATATTACTCGAGTGCAAAAAAGAATAAAGGGAGGATGCATTGTCAATATGGTAGCCACATCAACGCCATGTGGGTGCTTAGATGGGTAATTGGAATATCAAAAGCTGTCATTTTTATATTTATATTTATTTTGTATTTTGTGCCCAGTAATATGTAGTTCATTTAAAATTGTAGTATTTTGTGTTAAAAGTAGGGAATTGTAACATCTTTAATGTGGATTTATAATTTTTGAACTTGAATTATATTTCAATAATGATGTTACAAAGCAAACATCTTGATATATTCAACTCCTCTTGGTTGTGACTTCTTATTCTATATTTTCCTTCTTCCTTCTCTTCCACCCGCGCCAATCTTTCTATTTTTGCAGTAGATTAATTTTAAGCTTTATGAGGAGGAAGAAGCCACTTGGAACCCTCTATAGAGGCAAGGCTGATATAGGGTTTAATGTCTGCATCACTTAGCTGTTTCGAGAATTTAACTCGACCACCGGGATTAGACCCTGGACCCGTGTTCTTGTATTCTAGGAAAGTAACCGTCCTGCAATTAAATCCATCATTACCTTTTCATTAGTACCAATACAAATAGCATGTAAATTATATACAGGAACTTAGTTTTCCATTGTACAATGCTTCATGTTATACAATTATAGACATCCCATATCAATCCTCTCCACTAACAATATAGCTAGAAATAATTGGTCCCAAAATTATAAAACTGATAATTGAAAAAGAACATATGTATATTAATAATTAATGTATATATAACTAAACATGGATGATGACTCACCTTTCATCTTTGTTATTCCATCCTCCAGGCTTGATCACATCGCTCATTTCAGTGTAGGCAAAAACCACCTTGGCAAAAGGCTTCCATGCTCTGCCTAAGTCAGCGATTCTTCCTGCGCCAGTAACTCTGCAATGAACGAATAAAAAGCCAGTATCTTCCGTCGCGGTCTGTCTTCCTTGTGCCGTGATAAATGCCTGAGGGAAGGGTATCACATGTATTTGTGTGTTCTGCATCAAAACATCCATTATGTATATTGTTAATCTATTAAGAGAAAATCAATGCATGTGTATATCTTTAATTATAGGAAAAATAATTTAAATTTAGTTATCAAACTTTAAAACAAGTGTTGGTCATGGCGTTGCATTGATTTAAATAAAAATTCGTGGTCACTTTTATTAATTTATTTTCTTTTTGAAAATTCAAGTGAATTATCATTATTATTATGTATTATTAATTCTTCATTCTTAGAGATTAATCCTTGATACCAACCACATATAGAGATTTTCCATTGCCGAAGATGAAATCACCCATGCCTTCAATGTAGCAGTTCTTAAAGAAATGCCTGCCTTTGTCATCACAAAGGGTGTCTTGAAATCCAAGGAATCTGCAGTTATAGAATGAAGCCTTGTCGCCGGAGATTCTCAATGCCAAGGCTTGTGCTTGCTGTCCGGGAGCTGGCCTTGGTCCCGAATTCTAAAACATCAACACACATGCATGTACATTAATGAAGAAAAAAAGAAGAAGAAGACAACAGTCCCTGTATGTGTGTGAATATATATATATATATACGGACCTTAAAATTTATATCGATAGCACGGAAGTAATCAGACTCAATTATCACACTAGCACTCATCATAGTTCCTTTCGCTTTTCCTGTATCGCCAAAAACCAAAGTTGGCAAATTCTTTGGATCACTAGCTAACAAAGTGACAAACGGCTTCTTTTTATCAATGATGACTTTCTCATTATAGATTCCGGGCGCAATTGAGATGATCACTCGTTGAGTATTTCCATCTGGGATTCTCTTAATTGCATCCATCACCGACTTGAATTCGCCATCTTTACCCACCTTCATCAATTTGGGATTGTTCTCGGCATTCGCAAGGGCAGGGTCCAAACTGGCCCTCCGCTCCTTGTACGGTTTGACATTGGTCTGAAACCAACTCTCCACTTGAGCCCTCTCTGCCGGTATGGGTGGACTGTTGTCCGGGACGGGGACGGGGCGACGGACAGGGACGGGGCCGGGTTTGGCAGTGGCCGAGAAAATGCTAAGAAAAACTATAAGGACGACGACGAGTGTCTTTTTTGCTGCCATGTTACATGTGTTGGTGTTATTTTTTGTGTTCTTAATTCTTTATTTTTATGTCTGTGTGTGTGTGTATATATATGTGAGGCTTTACAGCTCTGGAGAGAGAAAGAATTGAAGTAAGTATGTGATGAAGAGGATTTGTCGCATATGACAGTCCTTCAAAGTTCCATTCGTGAATTAATGCATGATCATAAGGATTATTTTGGGCCACCTCCAGTGATATTTCGTTGTAGTATTTGCACAATTCATCAAAAGTCGTCTTTTTGCGTTGACTATTGATGGAATTTTCCAATTGACCATGGAAAGGGATTGACACCAAATACCCCGTTAAATATTTGGAATTGCATATAGAAAATAGAAATATATATTCACTTACCGGAAAAAAAATAAAAAGAAGAGAAATCTTGTTGTAATAGATGTTGCCCTGTGGGGTCCTCATAATAAAGGCTTTGCTTGAATTATACGAGTCTGTGTATGTCAAAAGAGAATAAGCATGACTTGTGTGTGTATAGTGTTGAAAGCTCGACTAGGTTTTATTAAAGTCTATAGCCCGGCCCTTTAGGGTGTATAATTATTAAGAAGTCAGAAAAGAGAATAAAAAACATAAGCCCTAACTTTCACGAGAGAGAGAGAGAGAGAGAGAGGAAAAACGCAGTTTTTTGCGTTTTTCCATATACCGCCCATATTTCATCAAACCTCCAAATCCCGCTTCATCCATATTCCAATCGAGCTGAAATTTGGAGGAGAGATTCACGACTCAATGAGTTAAAATCTGAGCGGTGGAGATCGGATTTTGAGCTCCGGAACAGTGATTCGTGCCTGTAAACAGTAACCTGGTTTATGGTATTTTCTCTCCAATGCTCTTTGTATTTGCCAAGATTGGTGATATCTTAATGAGATATATTGTAACCTCTAATTGCGATTAGAGAAGACTTTGTGTTCTCATTATTTGGTTGATAGTAGAGATTTTAACTGGACTAGGTCCCGTGATTTTTCTTCCTCACACCGGGAAAGTTTTCCACCTAAAAAATTGTTTGTGTTCTTGTGGTGGTGTGATTGAATTTTTTGTTTATTATTTTCAGCACATATAAAAGTAGAGATACATTATATTTACTTGTATATAGGGAGAAGAGTTATTACGCTGTGTTTGTTTATTATTATCTCTCCCAAAATATAGTTGTGGGTTGTGAACTAAAAAAATAAAAGTAAAGGGTTATGTGTGTGTGTCAAAAGAGAATAAGCATGACTTGTGCGTGTATAGGTGTGGGTTGTGAACAGAAAAAATAAAAGTTAAAGGGTTGTGTCGATGAAAAGACGCTTACAAATATGCATGTGTTGTGATGAGAAGGGCATTGAGAAAAGAAGTGAATTCCAGTAAAAGCAGAGCAATTTTCTGGATTTCATATCTCTCTTGTGTTCTTTATATATTCTATATTCATAACATATCTCCTTTAGTACCTTTTCTTCTTCTTCGTTGTTTTTTTTTTTTTTTTTTTTTTTGTTATTTTAAAATTATCATAAATTTTTACTTTTACAAAAAGGTTAAAGAATCCTATAAATTTTAATAGGGCCATATACCTTCTTTTTTTTTTTTTTTTTTTTTGTCATGTTTAATAATGGCAGGCCCATTTTACACTTTCTAAGTTTTTACATTGCAATGATTAAAGAGTTAGGAGTAAGTGGGGCTTTAGTACCTTCTTCTTCTTCTTCTTCTTCTTCTTCTTCTTTTTCATGTTTAATAATGGCAGGCCCATTTTACACTTTCTAAGTTTTTACATTGCAATGGTTAAAGAGTTAAGAGTAAGTGGGGCTTACAGGGAAGGTGATTCAAATCTAAGAACATGGGGTGGGACACTTAAGACTTGACCCATTTACCATTCTGACAACATTTATATATATATATATAAGTATACATATACAAAGTTTTATATATACACTTGTATTTATGCTGCTGCTTCTCTGCAAGTCCGCCAAGATGGTTATGAAGACTAGTACTCCAGGATTGGTTTACAATTCTTTTGCAACCATTGGTGGATGAAGCTTATTATTTTTTTTTTTAAGTTGAAGGGTAAGCTCTATGGATGAAACTCTTCCATGCAAAAGACTAAATTATTTTTTCTCTCATTTCCTTCTTTGTTTCTCTCACTAATCCCAGTTAACCCAATATTACTGAGTCCAAATGTCTAAAACCCACTCACCAGCCAGTACATATTGAGTGCGCAGGTATATCAAGTTATTGGTATACCCGATTAGTGACAATGCATAATTTCATAAAAAGTTCATATAAAATTACTACTAACAATGAGATAATATGTTATATTTAATTGGGTGACCAAACTTATGATATGTCGTTTCTGGCACACCCAATATCTACTCTTCACTAGGACATAAAAATAGTGCCTTTTATGGACGTTGTCAAAAATTCAATTGTTTTTAGACTGTATAAGCCTTATATAGGCATTATTGGGCCTAATGGTGTGTTTTTTTTTTTTCATCTAGTAAGAAATTATATAGAATTGCTGTGTTATCATTGATGAAAAATTGGTAGATGTTTACTAGGAATTGAACATTATAGATGCAAAGTGCCAAAATGTCACAAAGAGCTTTGATTTCAAACTCCAAATATTTCCTAAGCATCCATATTGTAAATGAAAGCAATTTGAGATGAAAATATTTACACTCATTTTTGGATGTAGTAAATCAGGATTTTTTATCAAGTCAGGAAAACAAACAAAATGAAACTAAATGAACCACAGGTCCAAGAAAGAAAGCAGAGCAAAAGGAGCAACCATCAAAACATTGAAGGAACAAAAGCTCAAGGGGACAACAGCCATCAATGCCCTACAACAAAGGAAACAACATGCATCATCAAGTTATGAAGCTCCCAATGATTACAAATCTGGTATGTACTTTGATTGCTATCATTTTCGGTAGCTTGGATATTTTTCATGATTATATATATATATATATATATATATATATGTTTGTGTGTGTATGTGTAGTATATATATATATATATACTGCTGAATGAAATCACACACACACATACACACACAAACATATATATATATATATATATATATATATATGTTTGTGTGTGTATGTGTGTGTGTGATCTCATTCAGCGGTACATCATTGTTTCACGCATTTGAAAGGTGTCAGATTTCTAGGAAATTCAATTTTTGAAAATAAAATCTAAAACTACTATTTCAGATTTTAGTAGTTTTTGTTTCCTATTTTCTAGCCTAGAGTTTTGCTGATTTGATTTGTTGATTTTGTGGGCTTCCTGATTTGGTGGCCTTCCTCTACTATTTATCTTGTAATTGTCTATCTTGAAAAATAAGAAGACTGAATATTTTTCTTCTTAAAAAAACCTTCATGGTATCAGAGCCTTATGCTTTTTTTCTATTTTCTGATGATGTCGTATAAGTCAGCGATGACCGGCGTCCAAGGAAATCCAACCGTCTCTTCCGGTACTTCCGAAACCATTCCGCCCAATCCCACTATTTCTCCCACGAATATTCTACCCAATCCCACACCTGTATCTGCGATTACTATTCCCAGGATTTAGCCCTTTATCTCATGATTACAAAACTCAATGGGCACAATTATCTCGAATGGGCTCAGTCCGTAAAATTAGCGATCGATGGCAGAGGCAAAATTGGGCATTTGAATGGCGAAATATCGAAACCTGCTGCTGGTGACCCTAATCCAAAAAAATGGCAGTCTGAAAATTCTCTTGTTATTGTTTGGCTCATCAATTCCATGGAACCTACGATTGGAAAACCTCACCTATTTCTTTCCACTGCTCAAGATGTCTGGGAGGCCGTTCGAGATCTTTATTCGGACCTGGAGAATTCTTCTCAAATATTTGAGTTGAAAACTCGACTTTAGAAATCCAAACAGAATGATCAGTGTTATGATGATGTTTGGGAGAATTCGAACGAGTATGCTCGCCACAAGAAGAGAGAGGAAAACGACATGGTTTACATGTTTTTAGCCGGCCTTAATCGGAGTTTGGATGAGGTCCGAGGCCGCATTCTCGGCAGAAAGCCATTGCCCTCTATTCGGGAAGTTTTTTCTGAAGTTAGATGTGAGGAGTTAAGGAGAAAAATCATGTTGCGTAACACCGAACATGGTTTCAATCTGGAGCCTAAGAGCTCTGCTCTTGTGTTAAGAGGTGTTGATTTTGACAACGAAGAGGCGTAAGAAACCGTGGTGCGAGCATTGCAAAAAACCATGGCATACGAAGCAGACGTGTTGGAAGCTTCATGGTAAACCAGTAAATTGGAAGCCAAAATCCAAACGTAACGGTCGCGCCTACCAAGCCACTGCTGAAGAGACTCAGGAGCCTTCTACCAACTCGGATGCAGTCTCACTTGTATAAATTGTTTTCTCCAAAACTGTCCTTAACTCCGTCTTGTTCTTTGGTATAGAAGGGTAACTCTCTTGCTACTGCGTTTTTTGGTATTATTCCTAATCCTGTTCATTCTTGGATAATTAATTCAGGCACAACTGATCATATGACCGGTTGCTCCAAATTATTCTCATCCTATAGTCCGTGTGCAGGCAATAAAAAGGTCAAAATTGCAGATGGTTCACTCTCGGTAATTGCCGGGATAGGAACTATCAAACTCACTCCTTTGTTAACCCATGATGTGCTTCACATTCCCAATTTGTCTTGCAATTTGTTGTCCATCAGTAAAATTACCTCTGATCATCAGTGTCAAGCTAATTTCTACTGTTCTTATTGTGAGTTTCAGGAATTAGCCACGGGGAGGATGATTGGCAGTGCTAAGGAAAAAGATGGACTCTATTATTTTGACGATGGACCTGACTCGAGTAGACGATGTCAAAGTACTTCTTTAAATTCTGTTTTTGTTTCCAAAGATAATGATATTATGTTATGGCATTATAGGTTAGGCCATCCTAGTTTTCAGTATTTAAAATACTTGTTTCCCAATTTATTTTGGAATAAAAGTCCATCCTCCTTTCAATGTGATGTT